TTCTGCTGCCTCAGTACTAAAGCACAATTTCTGGTTCATTTTGGCTCACTGACGGTTTCTAAAAAATGAAAATGAAAATTTCTGGCCAGTTCAGAATCCATGCATTGATCTCTCTTGTAGCATCTTGCAGAGAATGAAAAGTGTACCCTCTGATGACTGAACAATTCTACAGCTCAGCCACAGCCAGTGCTATACAGGGACGGAGGGAAGCGGGGCTCCCAGCACACGGTTGCAGCTCTGAGTGGCCAGGAAAAGGGGTGGCGATCGATCTGCTTACTCGGGGCTGTAGGCAGTACAGCACAGGTCTCCCTGCATCCTCTGTACACAGCAGATGGTCCCACAACACGGTAATAAATGTAATGAAGCTTTCCCTCCATTTGCCTTTATATGCCTTAAAAAACCCTCACTTTTTGGCATATAATTCTGTGAGCAAAAAAATATCCTCTCTATGATCCCTTTTAGACCCTGTGGTTAAACAACTGAATAGCCCAAAGGAAAAATGGTCCACAACAGAGCCTCTTCCTGGAAGAAATGCCTAGCGTGTACTCATTCTCTCTGCAATTCTTAGAGTAACTTGAAAGGCATATTTTTTTCTTTCTCGTGTAAATTTATTATACTCCAATCCTATGTCATGCATAACAGCACAGATATAGAACTATATGCAGCAGTTTATGGAGGTAACAACAAAACACCATTTTCTTCCACCTACTAACGGTTCTAGCAGAATCCCTGCTCCCTTCTCCAGCAGCCATATCTGCCAACAACACACTCTTTCATAGAAATAAAACCAAAAAAACCAAACCCATCGCCACTGAGTCGATTCTAACTCATAGTGACCCTATAGGACAGAGTAGAACTGCCCCATAGGGTTTCCAAGGAGTAGCTGGTGGATTCGAACTGCCAACCTTTTGGTTAGCAGCCAAACGCTTAATTGCTGTGCCACCAGGGCTCCGTCATAGGTCCACCTAATCATGATGCACCTGCTTGATACTCTGGAAGTTAAAATTATGTGTGTAGGCATTATTTCTATGATTATATGCTGCCTGAGAGCCAAGAAAACCCCCTGGGGCAGTTCTACTCTGTCACATGGGGTCTCTGAGTTGGAACCAACTAGACAGAGCCCAACGTTAACAAAAAAATCAATTTTTAAACATTTAGCTAGAGTTATCACAAAAATTTGAATTTTAACTTGAAGTTTTCATTTTTATCAACACCAAATATTTTAATGGTGGGGGACTGGGGGGCAATGAGTCTATATTCACTTTAACTACAATTTTCCTAAAGGTACTTTCTGAAAAACTATCGAATCTCCAAATTAAAAATAAGCCAATAAAGCACTCTTAAGAAAGAATCCAGCATTTTCTTTAAGCTGAAAAAAAATGATTAGGGACGACAGAAAATATTTCTTTAGCGTAAAAACACACAAAACAAATGTGGGTGCGCAGGCCTATTTTATGAGTGGAATGTGATGTTCTGCTCGTATTGCCCATACCTGTGCTGGGCAATAAGGCAAGTCTTTGTTTTGTTAGACTGACATTGGGTTACTGCTTTGCACATTTTACAATTCATCCACATAACGCTGAGCAGAAACCACAAAAGAAAATATTGATAGATTCAAACATACAGATATGTAAAATGTCAATTAAATAATACTAAATCAAAAGATTGGTATAAATTGGAAGAATCTTTGCAACATAATACCCTTAACACAGATATTTTACAAATCAACTACACACACACATATCCGTCTCCCCCCAAAAAAATTAGCAAAAGACATGAAAAGAATATTTACAAAAGAAGAAAGATTATGATGACTAAACCTATTAAAAAAAAAAAAAAAAAGCTAACCTCTCCAAGTGACATTTTTCCACTTAGGATATAAGCAAATACAACCCACTATGAGTTGGAATCGACTGGATGGCAATGGGTTAGGTTTTTTTTTTCTTTTTTAGTAGTATTGCCCATGGAAGTAGCAGTCAAGAAATCAAATGACATATTCGACATTGCATTGGGCAAATCTGCTGCAAAACACCTCTTTCAAGTGTTAAAAAGCAAAGATGTCACTTTACGGACTAAGGTGCGCCTCACCCAAGCCATGGTATTTTCAGTTGCCTCATATGTTTGCAAGAGCTGGACAATGAATAAAGAAGATCGAAGAAGAATTGATGCCTTTGAATTAAGGTGTTGGTGAAAAATATTGAAAATACCATGGATTGCCAGAAGAACGAACAAATCTGTCTTGGAAGAAGTATAGCCGGAATGCTCCTTAGAAGCAAAGATGGCAAGACTTCATCTCACATACTTTGAACATGTTATCAGGAGGGATCAGTCCCTGGAGAAGGACATCATGCTTGGGAGAGGGTCAGCGAAAAAGAGGAAGACCCTCAACAAATGGATTGACACAGTGGTCCAACAATGTGTTCAAACATACCAATGATTGTGAGGATGGCGCAGGACCGGGCAGTATTTTGTTCTGTTGTACATGGGTTTGCTATGAGTTGTAACCAACTCGACAGCACCTAACAACAACAGTAGTATTGGGGAGGGTATAGGGAGAAAGTGTACAGGTGGTAATGAAAGGGTATTGGTGTCACCTTTTAGGAAAGTAATTTGACTATATACATCAAAAACCTACAAATGTGCATTCCCTTAAACCACCAGTCCCAATTCTAGGTGCCTGTCCTCATTAAATCATTAGACCTCTGTCTACAAGGATTTTTATTGCAAGGATTTTAATACACACACCTTTAGAAAAAGATCTGAAAGGATGCACACCAAAATATTAATGTGATTATCTACGACTAAAACCTGAAAAATCGCTAGTACCTTTCTTTTTATCACTTATCTGTATAGTCTAACAAAGACAAACCAAACCCGTTGGCGAAAAGTTCGACTCATGGAGATCCATGTGTTAGAGGAGAATTTCTCTTTAGGGTTTTCTTGGCTGTATCTTTATGGAAGCAGATCACCAGGCCTTTCTTCCACGGTGCTGCTGGTTGGGTTCGAACCACTAACCTTTCAGTTAGTAGCTAAGCACAAGCCCAGAGACCTCCTTTATTATCTAAAGTTTCTATAATAAACACTTATTAGTTTTATAACGTTTCTTCTCATTTTTATTTTCTTTTTCAGGAAAAGAAAACGTTCAAGGGAAGCCTTTTAACAAAATAGAAATGGTAACTGCAGTTCGGGATTTCCGATCAAGTTAACCACAAGTCACATTTTATTCCAATGGATTCAATAGGGCAGATTACATGCGAAAAGCAAAATGGTAGGATCCCTTAGGCAGCTCCTCTTGCTTCTGTTCTGGCCACTTTCACCTACATAGAGAATTGTTCAGGGAAGATGTTTACAATCCCACCTGTAGTCTAGATAATTTCAACCATTAAGTCACAATTTCCCATACCTGCACAATAATTTTTTCTTTTTTTTTAAAAATAAAATCAGACACCTGAATAAAATCTTTGTTCGGGAGTGCAGGATACACCAGACAGCAGAACAGACATTGACACCAAGTTTCTTGAAAGCCTCCCGAAGAAAGAAAACAGCTCTTTCCCCTATGGGGACCCCTGATCACATACTGGAAAAGAGCAGCAAGGGTTGAATTCCAAGCCTCAACACAAAGACTAGAACGCAACGACTGTGAGGGAGCCAGGCTGGCAGGTGTGATGCTGAGGTGGCCACATGCCACAGCAGTAGCATGCCTGCATACAGCCGCACATTTACAACCAGCTGGGCAGCGTTTCCAACACAGGCTGAGGGATTTTGTTTTCCCCATATAAGGTAATGACAAGGATTTCAAATGGACCAAGCATTTTCTGTTTGTGTTGACAGCATTAGCACGGCTTCAGCTGGCCGAGGCGGATGGCAGCAAGAGTATCTGCATTATTTACTCTAGAAACTGCCTGAGCACCATCTGTTCTCAGGGCAGCCCTTCCCACACTGCACCCTCACCCCGCTTCTGTGAGTCCCCCAGTCACGTGCCTTGGCCCAGGACGCTGAAGTCCTCATGTTTCCTTGAATCCAGCGATAGGGAAACTTCATTTCAACAGAGCAATTGATAACACAGAACATCTCTTAATACTGCAAGGTTATAATTACTTGTCCAGCAGCAAAAATAATTCACTTCACCAACCTTCATTCTAAGACTAAATGTGATACTTGCCCTATATAACATGGAAGGGTGCTGGGTTATACAGCACGGAAAACCAATACTCTTGTACTCTAGAGCGTATAAACTCAGGTGTGTAAACTGACTAAAGGCCATAAAAGTTGAATTGAAAAGTCTACTGAATTAACAAATAGGGAGGAGGTTGTTTTGTCGTTGTTGTGTGCAGTCGAGTCAATTCCGACACACAGCGAACCTATAGGACAGAGTAGAACTGCCCCACAGGGTTTCCTAGGCTGAAATCTTTACGGAAGCAGACTGCCACATCTTTCTCCCACAGAGCCGCTGGCAGATTCAAACTACCGACCTTTCAGTTAGCAGCCGAGCCCTTTCACCACTGCGCCACCAGGAGGGCAAGTTTCAAAACCCCCTACAAACCATGTATGGTGACTACATCTGAGTCTAGTTGATTTTTATGGAAACAATGGCCTTTTATGAAATAAACTGTCCCACTCTGAAAATCAGAGGAACAGTATTAATAAGTAAATCAAGACCAACTCAAGACCCAATAGAGGCTACAGTGGATCATATGGATTGTAAAAGAAAACATTAAAACAAAGGACCACTAAAGAGAGAAAGGGTCCCTAGGTGGTGAAAAAGGTTAACACGATCCATTGTTAATCAAAAGTTTGGAGGTTCAAGTTCACCCAGAGGCATCTCGGAAGAAAGGCCTGATGATCTACTTCTGAAAAATCAGTATGGAAAACCCTATAGAGTGCAGCTCTCCGCTAACACACGTGGGGTCATCATGAGTCAGAGTCGATTCAACAGCAACTGGTTTTCAAGAGAGAAAAACCCAAGAGCTTTCAATTAAAAATAAGAACAAACCATTTATATAGAAATAGCTCAAAATTTATTGATAAATTTGGTTAAAAGAGTATATATAAAATATTTATTTTTCTTCTGCTTATGTATGGACATAAGAAAACAGGAATTAAAAATCTATAAGGACCCCAAAGCTCCTCCAAACCTGATCTGAGAAGTAGATAAGAATTAGCTGATTAGAGACAAGCCTGCTGTACCCAGAGCTCTCACTGACCTGAAAGTATCAAAGGATCCCCTCTCCCTGTCTATCATGCTAACATTGTTGTAATTGCACTTCCAAGAAAAGGTAAAGCCAATTAGAAAAATAATGTAATCTTTCGCTGGCATTGGAGATTAAAGATGAGTTCAGTCATCAGCTCCCGCAAACATGCATACGTAATGACAGGGAGAAAGAAACCAGCTGCCCCCACTGCCGAGTTGAGCAGAGGGACAGCTGAAGTCAACATAAAAACAGTGAGGCTGAACAAAATCACATTTAGAAAAAGCATCTCTTGAGGTTTCTCAAGGTCAGTTCACGAAGGCCAGGTGGAAGTAAATATTCTTCACATATCCTGGAAAGAAAAAGAAAACAAAAATTACCACAGGCAGCAAAACAAAATTCAAAGCCTTTGTAGTCCAAAATGATGTTGCTTCAAAGGACACTCTTACAACATCAGGCTTAAACGTCCATTTTTAATGATTTAAAGCTCCAGTGAAATGATTTAATTTTCTAGTCCTATAGCATTTGATTCACTAAATAGTCTCCTTCAACCATGTAATAGCTTGATGAGTGACGTCTCATCGGCTGTGTTCTCAGAGATAGGCTAACATGGGTCACAACTAATAGTATTCACGAACATTGTCACCCGTCTCCATACTTCCAGCAAGAACGGGTTGAACACAATAGGGAGCAGAGCAATTTAAATGGAAATGTATCAGTGGCATTGCACTGTGTTATGCAGTAGGAAGGTGACTTCTAAAGGGTACCTTGAAGTAGGGAGATAGGCTAAGTGAGTCCACCCTTGATGTGGAAAGGGTCAAGCAACCCCCAACAAGCGTCCCACAATGTTTGACCAAGCTATATTTGGTATACAGGCTATTGCTGTTCTAGCTAAAAATCTGGTCAACTAAAAGCTCAGCTTGCCCTGGAGGTCACAGCCAACACCTAACTACCCTTGAAGACTCAGGATTTAAGAGTTCCCACAGCATCCTAAAGGGCCTGTCTCACTTGTGTCAGAGACAAGGTCATTTAAAGTGATTGTTTAAATACTCCAACCCTGGTGCATTGTAACAAGCTCATTAGGTGATTCTCTGCACATTAAGATGGAATCATTCATCTACAGGATTTAGTGACTGACAAAATGTGCAGACTGGAGGATAGCAAGAAGTTGAAGCTGACTCTGCCCTGGGGAAATGATGATAATAAAGTGGCTTAGACAATCATGCCCAATAGAGAACTCTAGAAAACCAGGATGCATTTTCTAAATGTAAAATTTTAAATTATCAAAGAATATACATTAAACGATATAAGAATATAATTTAAATACCAGAAAGTATTTTTTAAAAGATTAATCATATTTGTCTAGCCAACATACACTTATTAGGGGCCTACTATTTAAGAATCGTATGACATTTCAAGAAACAAAAATCTGTACCCTTGCGGGGTTTAATTCACACTATCACTAGTATGAGGAAGAAGCCAGTTGTAAGAAAGATAAAAAGCACTAGGGTGACAAAGGAAAAGAGGGAGTCATTGCTTAGGGGGCACTGAGCTTCTCTTAAGGGTGATGGAAAAATCTGGAAACGGATAACGATGATGGATGCACGACATGATGAACGTAATTAACGTCACTGACCTGTACACGTGAAGAATGTTGAAACGGCAAATGTTTTTTTATGTATATATTTACCACAAATAAAAAAAATTTTAAATTGATTTAAAGGTATGGTAAATTCTATTTGATTGTGCAGTGGGAGAGATGTCAAATATTTGATGGTGAAAGTGACATCTCAGGAGTTCTTATGGACATTATTTGGCAGGTAGAAATTGAAGATGGATAGATTACTAACCATTAATAAGAAGAAACGCAAATGTCACGTTCAAGAAATGTTGGAAGCGCCAGTGTGGCTCAAGCACAGAGTAAATAATAGCAGAACTTTAGACTGAGTCCCATTTACAGAAGGCCTTGATTGGCAGCCTCAGGGAAGTCTAGATTTCTCTCAGCATGCGTGTTGTGGAGCCACTGACGGTCTCTGACATGAGCTGGCCATCACCTTGTCAGCAGGATGCAGAAGAAACTGGGGGGAGGAAAAGTCTGGAGTGGGCAGATCGGTTAGAAGTCTTCTGTGATCGTCCAAATGAAACAGAACCAGGGCCTGAAGTATGAAGAAGCAGTGAGAACAGAGCAGAGAGCACAGAGCTGAGAGCTATTCAAAGGAACAGTCTACAGCCCATGGATCAGCAGCATCAGCGCTGCCTGGAGCTTGTTAGAAATGGAGAATCTTAGGCTCCACCTACCCAGATGGAATCAGAATCTGCATTTTAACAAGCTCCCCAGGTGCTCCTCTGCACATTAAAATGGAATCACTCATCTAAAGGATTTAATAACTGACAAGATTTACAGATTGTAGGACAGCAAGGAGTTGAAGCTGACTCTGCCCTGGGGAAATGTAATAAAGTGGTTTAAACAACCATGCCTAATCAAGGCTGACTATTTACCCAAGGGTGAGACCCTGGGGAGGAATATCCACTGGGCAACGTTGCCTCCAATATGCTGGATCTTGTTGTACCTGTACTAGGTTCCTGGGTGGTATAAGCAGTTTGTGCTCGACTACCAACCTAAAGGTTGGTGGTTCAAATTCACCCAGTGGTGCTGTGGAAGAAAGGCCTGGCAATCTGCTTCTATGAAGATTACATCCAACAGAACTCTATGGAGCACAGTTCTACTCAGTAACACCTGGGTCACCATGAGTGGGAATGGACTCAACGGTAATAGCTATGGTTTTTTGGTCTGATGTTTGTGCTAAGAGGATGTGCCCTCCTTATCCCTAGGTAGGCAGCCTGATGCCATAGAAAGCCAGGGCTCTGAGTCAGGCAGACCTGAGCTCATATCCTATGTCTACTATGTACGCGGTGTTTGCACAAGTATCATTCTAAGAAACAATCCCTGGCACGTAATAAGCACTTAAATCAATGTTATTTCTTTCCTCTTCTAAAATGTCTATTTTCCCAGGCCTATAATGTTATATTTATGCACTAATGACCACTGCTAGACAAAGCACCACCAAAAGAAATATACAAAAATCTTTTTATTTTTTAATACCTATAACAGCTGAACACTGAACATTGCGTGTGACGTATGCTTAACTTTACTGCCTAAATGTTGTATTAGATAAAAGGTTTTGACATTATTATCTTCCTTCTTGATTTTTTTTTTTTTCTTTTCTTGGCTTTCATCATACTTTTATCATGTTTTCCGCCCTCCTCCTTCTTGTCTTGTCTGTCTTTGGCTTTTTACTGGTCCCCATATTTCCTCCAAGCCCCCTCCGTGAGTAACTCAGCCCTGAAACACAGCTCTTCTCTCTCATTCTTTGGGAGAGCTCAATCCTCATCTATCAGTCTCTAAATAAATGATGTCAGAATCCTATCATCAGCTTTGACCTTTCTCTGGAGCTTGGGTCCCAAATCTCAAAATGCTTAATGGGCAATTCTACTTGTAAGTCACCAAAAACTCATATTCCTTCCCCACAAAGTGGGTCTTCCTCACTTCCTTACTTCCCTCAATGGTGCCATCCTTCTCCCAAATAGAAACCACAGACAGTGCTAACATACAGGGGTAAGAGGGAGAGGTCAGTCGCCTTCCTTCCTAATGCGCCCCGATTCTCCTTTTCCATGCACATGGTTAGCCCTTTAGACGTGGCCCTCATTATTGCACCTGAGTATGTCAGCCTCCCCCTCTTTTATATCTTGCACAACACTACTGGATTAATCTTCCTAAAATGCAGCGCTGGTGTTACCTTGGCTCAAAGATCTTCAATGGTTCTTGCCTGCAAATATATTTGAATGATCATGTATTACTACATCACATGGCTACACCAAGATCAACTAACTTATGCTGCTGTTATTTCTATTCTAGTACTGGCTGCTTACAGCAATGAGCAATTATTTACAGGGATCTTTAGCTAAGTCTTTGGTTGTTTTGTTTTTAGGGTAACTATTGGGATTGTGGAGCCCTGGCGGCACAGTGGTTAAGACTCAGCTGCTAACCAAAAAGTTGGCAGTTCGAATCCACCAGCTGCTCCTTGGAAACCCTATCGGGCAGTTGTACTCTGTTCTACAGGGTCACTATGAATCAGAACCAACTCGACGGCAATGAGTTTGGTTTGGGTTTTTTGGTACTGGAATTGCAGGAAACCGGGTGGTACATTGGTTAAGTATTTGGCTGCTAACCAAAAGGTTGGCGATTCAAACTCACCCAGTGGCTCTTCAGGAGAAGACCACCTGTCGATCTGCTCCCATAAAGATTACAGTCTAGAAAACCCTATGGGGCTGTTCTCCTCTGTCACATGGGGTCGCTATGAGTCGAAATCGACTCAGAGGCATCTTCCCTAGCAATTTTGTTGTTGTTCATTGTTTTTTACAGAAGTTATAATTAAATTTTTTTATGTTTTAAAAACAGCAAAGTAATACATGCTTGCTGTAACAAGTGAACTAATAATGAATATTTCTTACAAACTCCACCCTCAACTGTAATCTTCACATCACTCTCCCTCGACTCCTCCACCCTTAAAGAATAATGTTAACAGTCTTCTATATATCCATCCACCTTCTCCTTGCTTATATAAGCATAATGGGGCACATCTACACACATAAACTGTTTTTATTTCTTTGAAATGAATTATACTGTACATTTGATTGTAGGGGGTTTTCATTTAATAGTATATCATGAACTGAAGCCACTCCCGAAGGCTACCTTTCAGCCAAAGATTAGACAGGCCTATAAAACAAACACGTGAGGAACATGCTTCTTAGTTCAATCAAGTATTGGAGACCTAATGGCCAACACCTGCCCAAAAGCAAGACAAGAAGGCAGGAAGGGACAGGAAACCTGGATGAATGGACATGGGGAACCCGGGGTATAAAGGGAAAAGGGGAGAGTGCTGACACATTGCGGGGGTTGCAACCAATGTCACAAAATAATCTGTGTATAAATTTTTGAATGAGAAACTAACTGGCACTGTAAACTTTCACCTAAAACATAATTAAAAAAAAAAAAGTATATCACAAGTATTTCTATAGACCAGTCTAAAAAGTTTATCTTTTTTCTGATAGGCATATACGTATATGTGTGTGTGTGTGTGTATATATATATATATATATATATATATATAGTGGTATTTATATATTATAGAAATATACACCTAGAAATTATACGCATGTACAATTCTATGTATAAAGAACCATACCGCGCCTTTTTTTCTATTGCCTAAACGTATGTTCTCTCTCATCAATTCTGGTACATCTTTTCAATCTAAAGACAGAGCTTAAAATAATTTTCTTCTGTTATTTAAT